TATTCTATTTTCTAGCAGGAAAAAAATCACATTTTGGAAAACTCTGTTGGCTGTACATTGTATTTTTCTGTCAAAAATATTATTCTGCTCTGAGATCAGATTTAGACTATTCAACTTCATTTAAATAGAAAAAAATGCAAATAACTTCCAAATAAGGAGTGGTTTTTTTTTTCATTTTGCTGTTAGAAAATAATAAAATTTTACAGTCAGAAATTTGGGTTGTTTCAAAAGGAGTTACCTGAAATGAACAGACAAAGTGAATACAGACTGTCTGAAAGCTGTAAAGTAGAAAGCTTGGATATTCAATTGTAGAGTTCAGCTTCTGAGGTGAAAGACACACTGGGTTCCCATTGTCACAGTGATTTAAGAAATTTAGGTGAGCAGTGCAGATGTCCAAAGCCTCTATTGCATGGTCAGATTCTGACTGAAGTTACTATAATTTAACAAGCTACCAAAGATCAGCTGAGCTGGGTAGAACTATTTCAGTGCTTCCTGTTAGCTATTTATGACAACAAGGCTCCTGGAGACATAACGTGGTTATTTTAGGTTAAGCTAAATCCACACTATCTCTTGTTTGCTCTGGGCTATGACTGCCCATTTGGAGTTACCTGTGACTGTACGGACTGGCATAGAGCAGCTTAGGTCAGGTTAGGTTTGAACACTTTGTCATGCTTCCATTTACACAATCAAAAAATATTATATTCTAGAACTCATTATTTTCCTTCAGTTAACCAGATTAATTCAGTGCTTGTAATTAATATATAGAGGATCTTGAGCTAGAACCTGAAAAGTTATTTCTGATGAATTTTTATACTCCCCATTCACGACAATATTAGCCCCTCATGCTCCTGCCTCCAACTGAAGCCGGTATATTTTGGGGTAGACACCCTTCCTTGTAATGATCTAAGTTCCATTTTGTTTGAAGTCCAAAGACACTGTTCATGATTAGGACACCTTAATTTAAATTTTCAAAGACATAATCCATCCCTTTAGGTCACAATTTTTAGAAGGAGCATTTTTTCTAAATAATAAAAGTACCACTGTGGAGAGTATTTTAAAGACTTAGGTGTCCGTGCTAATCACTTGGCCAGAGTGTTCTGGATCACTAGCTGCAGGTACAATGTGATCTCTCATCTTTCAGTCTGATCCACATTTGAAACATAGGTAAAACAGAACACAAGACTCAGTAAAAATTAGTTGCAGTGAAAAAAAAGGAACAGAGATCAGAACAATTCCACCCTTTATGTAAATCTGATGAAATGAATAAATACCAGAAAGTAATGGGGAAAATTATTTCTGCCCCTGAGTGAAGAGCTAGGGTTAGGGTCACCTAAATCAGCAATAGTTAAGACAAATATGGGAAGTCTATTATACCTCTAAGGTTAACAAGTTTTAATCGGACTCAGAAATGGGGCTTTATTCTCAAAGGAAATACCGAAATGAAACTAGTTGTTCTTCTGCCACATGCGAAAAATGAAGGTTACCTTGAACTTAAAAAGTGTCGATAGCTGTCATGAGCTGTTCTTGGTTATCACAGCAAAATAAGTCCACCTTCATCAGAACATTTTGATTTTTTGTGCTGTGTGAATTAGCCTCAGCTCTTCGCTGTGGTTTAGATTTGGACATGTTTGCATTCTCTGAGCTTCCAGTTGTACAAACTGTTCATTCTGCTCACTCTGTGGTTTTGGATTTCTACAGGATCTTTCTTACAAGGACCGCCACTGGCATGAAACCTGCTTCCACTGCTTCCAGTGCAAGAATTCACTGGTGGACAAACCTTTTGCTGCAAAAGAGGAACATCTACTTTGTACTGACTGCTACTCCAATGAATACTCTTCCAAATGTAATGAGTGCAAGAAGACTATTATGCCAGGTTAGGATGCTCATTTTTTGGACTAAGATAAGATTAGGCTAAATATCAAGCCAAAACCCCGTAATATTTGTAACAAGTGTTTTCCCTTGATTATCTCTGCTAGGATATGGTGAACTTTGTAAAATATAGTTGATGGTGCATTATAAGTCATTTCCATGACCAGAACACATAATTTACACAGTGGATCATGATAGAACTGTTATTCACATGAAGTGGATTACTCTTGAAAATTAGTATTTGTTTCAATTAGCATTTTTATTAATGGGATTTCTAATTTTCTAAAGTGGTATTCATTAATAGGGTTTTGATAGCTGGACAACAAAAATTGATCTCCATCCAATCCCAGCTTTGTACTCTTCCTTGATCGTCTTCCACAAAGAGACAGTTTGCAAATTTAACAGCTTACTTAATTCATTATTTATTTTTTTATGTAATTAAATATAGCTTTTCCCATAAAAACAGGACATGGTTTAGTGGTGAACTCTGCAGTGCTAAGTTTACAGTTGGACTAGATGATCGTAATGGTCTTTTCCAACCAAACTATTCTATGATTCTAAGGTCTTTCTTGAGCACAAAAATATGAAGAAACAGGAAAAAGCCATATTCTTTTTCAACATGAAGAATGAAGTTATAGTAATAGATTGCTAAAACCTCATCTGCTCATGTCAATACTATAACATTCTGTGATGATTTGAGGGCTTAAAGTGGAAGGTATTGGTCCAGAAATAAAACATTAAAAGGCAATTTGAAGAATCCACATACACGCTCCATAATGATTACTAGTTACTTTTCCCAGTAAAATTTTTCCTTGTTTGGTTCTGACATTGGTCATCTTGGACAAAAGCTGAAAACCACAATGTTGTGCACCTAAGGTGTAAAAATGAGGGCTTGATGATGAAATAGGACATATAAATAGAAACAATAATATTTAAAAGCAGATGGCCCTATCTACTCACAGCTGAGTTTAGGCATATCCTTCTATGATTCTATGTGCACCTGTTTTTACCAATGCAGCTCTAACAACTGACATATTTGGGAATAGCCACTGCTAGTTTTAAAGCTGCAACTACATATAGGTATGTATATTTATAAGATTTTTCATCAAATTTATCCCCATGATCAGTGAGCTTATTTACCGAATGGATCTTTTTGCCTATTATGCCAGCTGTGTACTGATAAGTAGTAACGGAGGCTGGATTCAGCAACCCAGAGAATCCCTTCTTTTCTTCTGAAACAGAAGAAACAAATTTTTATGAAGCTTTACAACCACCAACTGGTCTTTAAGCTGCTTACTCAAGATATCCATGATGTCACCACATTTGGAGAGCACCCAGCATGTATTTTCTACTTACTCAGCACACCATGTTAGTACAGAAGCTACACCAGAGCACTATGATCACCAACTGAAGCATAATTAATTTTGAAAGAACCAGCAAGTGGTTAGATTGCCTTTATGGAGACTGTTAATGCCACACTTGCCCTTTGCTTTGCTCTGTTTCACTAAGTGTACAATTTAGATTTAATAAAGCATTATCATGACATACTCATTAAATACTAAAGTAATTACAAGCTCGATCTTTCAGTCCTTCTGCAAACTAAACTCCTGCTGACTTCAGTTCCACAGCTAACAAAGCTCCCCCACTTTGTGTTTCAGTGACATGATCCCAAAGAGAGAACATCTAAAATTGTGAAAATAAAATTCCAGAATATTCCAAAAAAAGAGTATCCACATCTCCTTTTTCCAGAACATCATTCCTTCAAGGGCTGATTTATTTGCTCCTTGATATGATACAGAAAGTTACTAGCATAGAGAGGGCATAATTCTTAAAAGGTGTCTATTAATAAAATGGATCAGAAATATTCAAGCATGTAAGCATCAAGCAGAAAGATAATTAACAGCTTGCTTACTACACTCCTGAAAGTCAATTGTTAAAAAAAAAAAAAAATCCTGAATTATGCCTCTGGGCAGAATTTAATGAGACTAAAAAAAAAAAAAGGAATAAATAGATGCAACAAGCAGACAAAGAGGAATGAATGCTTGGGAAGGGAAAACTGGTGAAATCTCACCCTGCAGTAATGGGGGTGGGGAGAGCTGGCATCAAAGGAGTTAGTGTGGTTCTTCATCCTTAGCCAACATGTGATCAGCTTGTCAGTCTTCCAAGCACTTGACATTGTATGTGTTGCTACCGGCTTCAAGAGTAATGCAGAACTGTAGGAGCATCATTTATTTTCCCTTCTGGCCACTATCAGTTATTCAGATTCAAAGTGGTACATAGGAAATTATATAGTGTGCAAAGAAATTTCTCCATATAATAAGGCATCTCCAATGTCCTGGAAGGGCTCAGAGTCCACTTGTCATACAATGGACTGAATCTGTACAGTATCTGTACTCTAAAACTTCATTCTAGAGAAGCACATTTAGCTCCTGACTACCATAACACTTCCCTGGTTTTCAGTATAGGCTTGTTTAAAGATTTTTGTTCCTTTCACATTGCAACTCTGGTTTAAATACAACTGAAGACAGAGAAAAAGCTTCTTTCTCACTGAAAGTTTCAAGAGACAGATACATTTAGGACAGGTGTTGCAGAAGACCTGGAAAACATTGCAAATTTATAGTGGACTTCCATGAGGAATAGGGCCACAGAGCAAACACGAAATAATTCTATTTCTCAGACAGTGACTACACTTTATTGGGAAAGGGAGGCAAGAAGCTTGCCAGGAATTAACCAGCTGTCTGAAAAAGAAACAAAAGGGACCTGGAATGAACAAAGTCAAACTTTAATGTGGAATGGTCTTACCTTTACTCAGCACTAACAGTAGTTTTTATGGGTGTCTCTCCAATTTCCCAGGATCTTCCTCTGCATTAGAATTCATTATTAATCCTAGTAACGCCACAAAAAGTTGTCCTAATCCCTCATTATTAGCAATAAACCTTTCTTCTTTCTAGAAGAAGAACCACTCACTCTCCAAAAACTTAAAATGGTACCCAATACCATGCAAAGCATGAAATAGCCTCTCGCTCATAGCTGCGCTGCTCATGGACTGACAGCCAGCTCTCAGCCCAACGAGGGTGACAAACGGCACCAGTCCGAGCCAGAAGCCCAGCTGATGCTCTGGTCTCATTACAGGTACTCGGAAGATGGAATACAAGGGCAACAGCTGGCACGAGACCTGCTTTATCTGCTACCGCTGCCAACAGCCTATTGGGACAAAGAGTTTCATCCCTAAGGACAATCAAAACTTTTGCGTACCCTGCTATGAAAAGCAGTTTGCCATGCAGTGCGTCCAGTGCAAGAAGGTAGTCCTCTTATTTTACTTACCTAAAACCTAAGAGATCGAAGTCCATCCCATTTTATGTCCAAGTAGGTAGAACATATTTTTTTTTTTCCTATGTCTGATAAAAGATTCAGAATTAACTGATTTTAAGAGCTTATATAATTTCAGTTCCCATCCTGCACTAGGCACTGCATTTACTACAGTAAGAATTCTCTTACTCAAGGTTAGAGATCCCCTTGTATTGAAAGCATAGAGAACATGTTTTTGGAACAAAAAACCACCACCACAAAAAAAAAAAGCAAACAGGAAAGAAAAAAAAAAAAAAACCCTGCATAGGAACATAGGAATAACCTCATTCCCATATAAACCATCATATATCCAAACATTCCAACTGAAGGAAGATGAGCTAATGCTGATCGTATTTTAATATTCTAACGAAGTTCAAGACAGAGAGATAAGCTTTACGCAGAGCAAATGCCATTCCTGAAACAAACACAGGTAAACTCAATATGCTCAGAAATATGACTTTCTAGGCTAAGGACCTTTTATTTGTGAATTTCCTAAATTCTATACACAGACACAAATTTTTAAAAGTAAAAAAATAAAAAATAAAATTGTTTGATTCATTAGGGAACTAACAAACCACAGTTTCCTATGGATATATGCATAGGCAAAACCAATCAAAACTACAGCTATATCTGCAGTACATCCCCATTCCCACTGCCACTGTTTCCTCTTTGTCACCCTTTACCCTCTGGGTACTTCCAGCCACCACCTGTGCCCACACTACCCAGACTTTCTTCCATGTGTGCTACCTGCTCGTTTGCCCTCCCAGTCAAGCAAAGCTGCAGTCTGGTCAGACATACCAGCTGGCCAGGAAGGACTGCACCTCTGCTGCTGCTGCAAAGGCAAACAGGTAAAGGGTAAATATTTATTTCAGTATTTGACTTAAAGTATATCTAATTACCTTTACTACCTCCTATCCATCCATTGATTTTCTGACGCTTATAGGAGCTTTGTATCTTAAAAACTCTGCCTAGTGTCCGATTTTAACCACATTTGAGAACAGGCTCAAAAATACCTGGGAAGAGGCAAAGACACAAATGAATACACATAGGAGGTAGCGTGATCACATACAAGCCTGATTCCCAGGAAACCTCTGTTTAGGGAAGAAAGGAAGAAAAATTAAACTGTCCAATTTTACAGCCTTCTTAGGAACACTCAAAGGATCAAAACACGTTCAGTTTGTCAGGGGAGATGTTTTTGCAGGCAACAACTTATTAGAAGAGAAAATGCCCAAAGTCTGGAGAAGCAGAAAGCAAAGACTTCAGCTAAAATTTGAAATAAAACAGTCTGTCAAGGAAAGTAACAGGGAAGTTGAAACACATAAGGTAGTTCCTTCACCATGAAGAATGGGTCAGGTGAAGGTACAGAGAATCCTAGCACACACATATGAAAAGCGACATACAAAGCCTAGCTTTAAAAACAAAGAGGACAATTGAGAGGGAGATTGTACAATATATGGAGAATAAAGTACTTTTACTATGGGGCTTCTTTGTATAAATTAGGGAATTACAAGTCACTTACATGCTTTTCTCAAGGTCAGCTCCAGCCAAAATGATGACTTTGCTGCTGCTAGCCTTCTTTCCCTCCTCCTACCCACAAAAACCTCATCACCCTTCCTCCCTACCAAATCAAAATACAAACCTGCCACCCTCAAGAAAACACTTTCTGTCTCACTTTCCATAAACCAGGCTATCACTACAGGAGGCGTTACCTACCGGGAGCAGCCGTGGCATAAGGAGTGCTTCGTCTGTACTGGATGCAAGAAGCAGCTGTCTGGACAACGCTTTACCTCCAGGGATGAGTTTGCATATTGCCTGAGCTGCTTCTGCAACCTCTACGCCAAAAAGTGTGCTGGATGCACAAACCCAATCAGCGGTAGGTCTCTCATGGCCAGTGCCTTTAAATTATGGGGTTTTATTCAATGAACTGCTTCTAGTATTAGGAATGGGTCAATAATTCATTTTGAATAACTTCAGAGCCTCAAGACACTATACAACTCAAGATGTGTGACATTAAATACTTATGATGCCTTTCAAGTGCCTAACAAAAAGAAATGGAAGAGGTCCTTACACTGAAGTTTCCTCCTTTCCACCTGATTTTCATGGAACATGGCGTACACAGAGTAACAGAGCTACACATGTAGTGAAATATGCACGTTCTGTACATCATTCCACTTGCATTCATTAGAGGGACCACTGACCTCAGCACCAACAGTCCCTCTGCCAGCAGAAAGTGTCTAACTGGCTTACACCTCATGCTTTAGCACAGTACATTTATTCCCTGACTTTTCAGGACAGCAACTGGGAAATCACAAGGTTTTTAGATACTGCTTTCCAGTACAGAGCTACTTAAAGGAGCAACTGCTTAGAGCTTTATTATTAAACACATATCATAAAAACAGAACCTCCTCTATGAAGTAATCAGCATTTAACAGCATGATCCATACAGTCCAAGACTGCAAATCTGAGTTGTATCTGGACCATTTTCTCGTTATTGCTCTTCCCTCACGCCTATCCCTCACTAACATAGGCTGATTGCATAGCTCCTAGAAAACTCAGTGCCTAACATCACACGTACTGTTTACTGTTCATGTGAAAGAGGCATTTCTTTTCTGAATACTGCAGTCCTTTCTATCATATGCTGTTTTTTCAAAACGTTGCTACTACAGACCAAACAAAACAAAAACTCTTCTCATCAGGTAAGAGACATGCCCAACTAAATCTTTTCACTGACTCCCAGCTAGTCATTCCAATGCATCATATTCAAATTGCTTGTCATTTCTGAGGTTAAACAAGAGAGAATTAGTACTGAGACATTTGTCCCTTTTCTCTTTTTCCCTGTACAACTTGAATACACCATATGATAACCTCCACAGCCTCCAGCTCTTGAGTATTTTTTTTCAGTTTACTAACCCGCTTCTTTTCTTGAGGCACTCCTCCTTCAAAGCTATGATTCAAGTCATGACATAAGCCGTCAAGACTTTTTTAATGTTCAAAATGCATTTTTACAAAACAAAATTAACTTACTAACACGCCATAAAACATTCTGTAAAAAACTATCAGACTTCTGTTCAGGAGCAGTTGCTTTCCTTTTCTTCTGCTGCATATTGTAATGCAGCCCCTTCAAAGTTCATTTGTGCCATCATCTATCACCACTGGTAACAGCATAGCTCACTAACTTACCTGAAAGCAACAGAACTATTTGAGGATGAAAATATCACTTGCTACACAGAATAAGGGTGGCCAAACTAGCACAGCAACAAACAGATTTGTCACAACGGCATTTTTTCACTACTGTATGTCTCCGTAGGAATCCATGAGGGGAGTCTGAAATAGCCTGACTGGATGGCTGAACCACTCTTTTTCTTCTAACAGAATGCTTTTGGTTTTCAAACAGGAGTCGGAGGAACCAAGTACATCTCCTTTGAAGAACGGCAGTGGCATAACGATTGCTTTAACTGTAAGAAGTGCTCTCTCTCATTAGTGGGTCGCGGCTTCCTCACGGAAAGGGATGACATCCTTTGCCCTGAATGCGGGAAGGATATTTAAAGTTCAAAATAAGAGGTGGGGAGAAGGGAGGAAAGCCGTGCTTGCAATATATAGTCTGAAATACACAGATGTTCAGAACTAGCTTTGCCACTCTGTGTTTCACTGTACTATTAACATTACTTAACCTTTTCCTTCAAACTCTTCAAATCTGGAGGGAAAACAACTTCAAAACCTCTAGTAGCAGTGTTGGTGTTTGAGATTTCTACAGCTAATCAAAACTAATGCAAAACCTGAGATGTAAAACCATTTGGATGTTACTGACATAACATACTCTTTTTGTGCTTTTTTTTTTTTTTCCTTCCACTAAATATTCCAGTTACAAGCAAGTGATATAGTTCAAGGATTACAATGGCCACGCACAAAACATTCATAGATGGATATTCAGGGTGAAAACCCTCAGCTCACTGAAATCAATGGCAAACACCATTCAATTTCAGTAAGGCTCTAGTCTCACCTCAGTGTTCTTGAGCTATGTGCCTCGTGTGTGCTGTCAAGTGTGTAGAAAGACTGCGAACGTAGAGGGTGTTTCAATGTACAAGGATTTGTACCGTGCCATAAAGAGATAATGATAAAACAGCTGAAGTGGGAGCGCTTCATAACAGGTACATATTTTATTGCATGACTAGCTGATCATTGTGTGAAGTACAAGTTCTGATTGACAATGTCAGTATTACAGTTAGTTGGCATTACACTGCACACTGAATTTTTCAAAATAAAATAATTTAAAACAAAATAGTGATTGTGCTTTAATTGTATTTACATGTTGATATATTTACAAATAAAATGCTTTCACAGCCTGAAGAAACAGAACACAAGAGCCATACAAACACAACCCTTTTTGCACTCAGTCATTAGGAAACTGTGGAGTTTAGACAACCCTCATACAGGCCCTGCTGATACAACCTGAGTCTTCCACTAACCAAAATCAGCAGGAAAAAACAGCAAAAATGAACAACAGTATGAAAATACTGAATTGAGTGCAGCTGATAAAAATGTGTTCATAGACTCTAAACTCAAAACCAAAATATTACTGTTATCAGCAAGCAAGGAGGTCAGGACAACTCAAAAGTCTCTGCAAAAGTCAGGAGTTTAACTTCATATTAGGGCATGCTTTAATTTTGTTCTGTATTGCAATAGGTCTGGCATCATTTCTGCTACATGTTTGCTGCAAAGGCAACTGTCAGCAACAGCACGCTGGCAGGACAACAAAATCAATAGGGAACAACCCAAAGGAATATAACTCCCTTCCCAAAGCACATTTGAAAAACTACGGCCACATTGTGCAACGTACAATCCTGGCACACCTTCCAGAGGGAACTCATTTGTATTCAGCAAAAGAAGGAAAGTGGTATGTCACACTTCCAACAGGAATCTTCAGATATGGGAAGGAGAACTAGGAAAATACTTACGCTGTGTGTAACTGGGTAGAGAAGTTTTCTCCTAGTTCCTCCCACCACTCCTGACTTTGTCTCTTTCTTTACCAAGTGTAAAGTGCTCGCAGGTCATTCCTCTCTCATTAATCCAACAAGCTAAGATGCATCAGATCAGATTTGGTCTACTGTATACCCTTTGAAGAATCACAGAACTGTTGTGGTTGGAAGAGACCTTTAAGATCATAGAGTCCAGCTGTTAACCTGGCACTGCCAAGTCCACCACTAAGCCACATCCCTAAGCACCACATCTAAATAACTTCTAAATACCTCCAGGGATGGTGACTCCACTGCTTCCCTGGGCAGCCTGTTCCAATGCCTGAAAACCCTTTCAGTGAAGAAATTGCTCCTAATATCCAATCTAAACCTTCCCTGGTGCAACTTGAGGCCGTTTCCCTTGTCCCCAAGTAACAATTTTCCCCAAGTAACGGCCCCAAGGGCCGTTTCCCTTGTCTCCCAAGTAACAATTGCTTGTTACTTGGGAGGAAGAGACCAACCCCCACCTCACTACACCCTCCTTTCAGGTAGTTGTAGAGAGCAAGAAGGTCTCCCCTCAGCCTCCTTTTCTCCAGGCTAAACAATTCCACTTCCCTCAGTTGCTCTTCATAAGACTTCATAAGCTCTTCATAAGTGCTCCAGACCCTTCACCAGCTTCGTTGCCCTTCTTTATACACACTCCAGCACCTCAAAGTCTTTCTGGCAGCGAGGGGCCCAAAACTAAACACAGTACTCAAGGTGCAGCCTCACCAGTTCTGAGTACAGGGGCACAATCACTTCCCTACTCCTGCTGGCCACACTGTTTCTGACACAGGCCAGGATACCTTTGGCCTTCCTGGCCACACTGCTGGCTCATGTTCCCAGCTGTAAACCAGCATCCCCAGGTCCTTTCCCACCAGGCAGCTTTCCAGCCACTGCTCCCCAAGCCTGTAGCCATTACATGGAGTTGTTGTGACCCAAGTGCAGGACCCGGCACTTGGCCTTGTTGAACCTCATACAGTTGGCCTTGGCCCATCAATCCATCCTGCCCAGATCCCCCTGTAAAGCCTTTGTACCCTCGAACAGATCAACAATCCCACCCCACTTGGTGTCTTCTGCAAACTTACTAAGGGTGCACTCGATCCCCTCATCTAGATCATTGTTAAAGAATTTATCAGAGCTGACCCCAATACTGAGCCCTGGGGAACTTGGCTGGCTGACATTTCTGAAGTGCATACCATGCTACTCCAATCTCACTGAATGACTAAATACAACCCTTTGGTGTAGTAAAGAATAGCCACAAAAATCCCTCTGATATTCACACCTCCCAAAGGAGGGCAAGCACCTCACTTACTCTCTCCTCTGGGGTCTGGCAATCCCCTAGCACACTGCAGCTCTGCTCTACCTAATACCTTGCTGAGAGAAGAAGGATTACTACTAGCTGAGGGGGCAGCGGGAGGTAGTTAAGAGCAGCACGGCTTGCAGCTTACTCCCCAAGCGCTACAACAGATGGCAAAATGGTCCCAGCTTTGGAAAAGGTAGGTGAAACATGACAAGGCTGGAAAGCACATTGTTCTGAAAACAAGACTGTTACCATGCAATAGCAGCATCATGCCATTATTCCAATACAGTTCTGTGTACTACTCCTTAACACACACCAACAAACACGTCCTCCTAGCAACTGGAACTACAACAAAATATAGCTGAGACTCTAAACCACTGCCAAGAAGCCACCCACAAAACAGAACTCCTACCAGACCATAACACTAGCACAAGGGCCAGCACTTCACATGGCACTACCTGCTGCTAAAACTCCAAAGTAGCTACTAAGCCTTTTACCCTGTAAGCTTTTTCTTAAGTTCTAATCACTTCAAGTCCACTGAAATATAACCATATAAAATTAACAAGCTTAATTACATCACAAAACAAGTCAGGACTACTTTGTTTACTTTTAATTGAATTTATTTAAATAGGATAAGGCTACTTAAATGACAAATCTTTACATACAAAATGTACATTACATTAAAGTTTGCTGTACTCAGGTACAAAAACTGCACAAGTGTTTAGTAAAAGGGAAACAGCACACAATATTTGAAAACACACATTCTTACCATTTTACACCATTTGAGAAGTGCCTTTTATGTCATAACAGTGAACAGAGAACTTCTGTCAGCGATGAATTAAGCTACAGTTTTTGGTTTCAATATTAACCAATGTTAAAAATGTAAACAAGCTTTCAGATCACCACTGACAGCTTCTTTTAGTGGGTTAATTAAGTGGATTCAGAAGTTGATTCTTTTTTTGGTTTTGTTTTACTAAGTCTGGGAGCATTATTATTATTTACCATCCATATCTAAAATGGATCTAAACTGGCATCACCCTGAGCCACTGAGATTTAATAAAAATGTTTCCATCAACTTAACTTTCTGCCTTATAAGGCACTACTAATAATCCAGATGAAACACCCAAGTTTCACAGAAAACCAATATCCATCTTAAATTATCAAAGGAAGGGAAACCAAAACAGATTTGTTTTGGTTTGGTTTGGTTGGTTGGTTTGGGTTTTTTTTTTTTAGAGTGCTACGCTAATGCTCTCAAGGTACTTTGTCTTCCTATCCCTGCCCCTCTCCAACTGTTAGTAAGCTGAGAAAGCACTGGCCTGCATTCCACAGGTTTTCCCCATATTTTATAAGCATGACTGTAACCAGGAAAACAAGCAAATTTGCTACATCAGCATTTTTTTTACACTTATGCATGTATAAAATATACCTGTGTATTTAAGAGAACATGGCACTACTGCATTCACCACCTCCTCTCAAAGATTCATATCAAACAGTCTAATAACATACTTCCATCTGTGCATTTCTTACTTCATATATCAATAAGAGAAACTTCAATTTGAAGTAATGCTGTTAAATAGTTCATCTCTTATTACCAACCTAACTTGCACTGTCAATTCTACACTCCTGTGCAAAAAAAGGAAAAAAATTCACCTCAGACTATTTTATCAGCATAATGGTCAGTTTTCTCATCTAAATAAGTTATGGTTTTGAAGCCAAGAAGGTTCTTGGCATCACTCTGAATCTCAGTTGCTATTTTAACTATTTAACCAGAAGTGGAACAAAACTTAATCTGAAACAACAACAAAAAAATTTGTATGTGTGAATTGCAGGGACATGCAGGAGATGAACTATAATAATCCTGAAAACTAAAAGTGAGGGGTTTAGTAAACTGTAATATTACCACCTTTTAAAGAAGTAATGAACTACTTGGTGTACAAGAGTAGACAATCTTAAGGTGACTGGTGAGAATGACTCCAGCTCTACAACTTGTTAAAACTTCACAGCAATCTGAATCCCTGTAAGGTTTAAAAAGAATTGTACCTAAACTGTTTAAATATGACTTATCTGTTTGAAAACAGGGAAGTAACATTTATGTTTCAAGCACCATTAGCTACTTCACGGCCATGTAACATGCTGGATTTTCTTCTTTGCTTCCGTAGGCTTTAGGTCATTCTGGAATATAAGAAAGTTTGTAAGTATTCTTAGATACATTGTGCAAGTAGAAGTTGGTAATTAACCTGCCCCGTTCAAATCTAGTACCGACTAGTGCTGCTCCCAGCGATGCGCTGCTACAGCAGCTTTCTATTGCCACCTCGTGGATAAAGTTAAACATCACAGAACTTCTCTTAGAACTAAGACAAAAATAAAGCCAATAAATTTAACTACCTGCAAACCATATATACCTTCTGCTTCTTCTTAATCCGACAATAACTTAGGCAAAAACATCTTTCAATTAGAAACAGTTACATAGTGGAGTGTCAAAACACACTTCTAAATTTATTTCAGATTGTCTTCTTAAAATAGTTATTGAAATGGGATTGTATAAGAAAAAATAAACATACAAATAGGAAAACAATTTACTTTTGTCAAATGGTAAAAATGCTAGGAAAAGAGAAGGAAAAGTAGGTATTCCTTTGTAATGGCCTGTATAAAAAAGTGAAATAATTGCCAAAGCCTCAGATGAACTCATCTTTCAAGCCCTGCCCCAAGAAACCAGGAAAAATCAAGCAAACTCAAAGTAAAACAATGGGAGATTGAACTGGTGAAATAATTACCTTTCACCATCTAAAATAAGAAAAAATATGAGAAATTAAGAGCTTGAACAGTTTACACAAGCAGAGTAAAGACAGGTGTATGAGTTTGCGAGAACATTCTGCAAAACACTGGTTTGGGGAACAAAATCTAGGTATGTCTCTTCTCCTTAAGAGTTTAAATGTTAATTTATTTACAAGAATCCTGTGGATTGCAACCACTTAAAGGCTGAAGGGAATTAAACCCAAAGATCAGAAGGATAGTTCAGTGTTTCTTGAAAGTCAAAGAACAGTCACTTGCTTGAAGTTGTCATTACTATCATTACACTAAAAATACATCAGGCTTTACACTCTATCCACTTGGCTTTCCATCTGCCAAGTCTACTGATTCTTCCCAGCTGCTTCACTTATTATTTAATACCATATTCTTTAACTTCAGACAGTAAAGCAGCATCTATACAACACATTTGCCCAACTTCAAACATGTCTGACCGATACTAACCAAGGCACAACTGAACTTACCGGTATTAACTTGAACAACGTAAAATGTGGCTAAAATAGAAAGTCAAGTGTCAGAAGTCAGAGCTTCTGAGTGTCACTTATACAGTGTCACTTAAAAGTGTTCGTCACTGTGTCTACAAAACATTTAAATTAAATATAAAGAACCTGTGAGGTGTGTACTAAACAAGTTTCAAAAGCTCTGTAGGTTCAAATCTGACCAATACTTAGAAGAGTTCTAACTACTAAAATAAATTAGTGATACTGGTAGTAGGAAACACACCTCTCCAGCACAAATTTGATTCAGGGCCCAGTCATGATTCTTGTAAAAGCCGCTAAAGGCGTCTTTTGGAACAGCCACATGTATAGGTGCTCATGTTAACAGAATTCTGATGGAACCTACCAATCCATGCAGCAAGAATATTACCTGCATTCTTTCATAAAAGGATTTTTTTAAAAAATAGATTAATAGAAAGCATTTCATGAGGAAATACCGAGAAAACAGAAGTTAGGTCTGGTATCCTGGGAAAATTTTAACCAATGTAGTTGCACACTGCATATCTGAAGCTCCCCCTGCAGTTCAACTGAGACCAGATATTCTATTTCTTCCTTTGAAGCCCAGACTTATTCCAGGTATTCCCATATTCCAGTGGAAATGTGAAAATTCCTTCATTTATATCAGGAAGGAATATGACACAAACATAAGACTTATCTCTACCTAACAGCATGCTTTAAAGAGGAGGTGGCCCACTGCTCCTCGCTCACTGACAAGCCCTTAAAAGACTAATCACACCTTTGTCAAAATTAACCACTGTTTGTTCTATCTTTCTCCCCAGCTGGCAGCTACTTTCAGCACCATTAGCTACACTGTCAAAGAAACGCCCTCCTGAACTTGCGTATCCTCCCTTAGCTCCTCTCTCATCACTTCAGCCCATCAGCCTCATTCTGCCCCTGACTGTAGCGCAGTTCTCTTCTCTAAAGGAAACTTGTCTGCAGCTGAATCCAACTTGCAGAAAGAAGACAGCTATTTACCCTTACAGTTAACAGCTCAGTCATCAGACTTTATTTGAGAACAGCACCTTTCTGTTTAAGATCTCAGCATGTCTTTCTTACCAGCTTAGAGAAGCCCAGATTAAGATCACCATGGCTCAAAATGAGCACTGGACCTTTGGCCTCTCACTTCAGCTAGGAGGGCTTGTCGTTACGGCTTCTCATACAGAGCCATAGAGATCTCTCCAGATTTTCACATCCAGTTCCTTCCTCTAGCTTGCCAATTCCTAGGCGAGATTTAAAACATATGGTGTTCTGCCTCCAAGGAAATATTCTATAGCTCTCAGCACCTCACTTCAGTTCCTGTAACATCTCTTCCTTCACTCTGACAAATGAAAGCTTGCCCTACCCAACCATTCACATGTGGTTGTTACAAATCTTATCTTTTTTTTTAATTCCCTACTACAGAAAACAGACCACTTGTCCTCCCTGTAAGGCTGCTGCTGTTGTTCCATAATACCTGTTCTCTCTCTCAGACCTACCAGTAGGATTATTTTCTTTGTGCTTTGATTGCTACCAGCACCACCTTGAGTATTACCTACTTACTCATTTTAAAATTACATGCATGTTTTCTACAAAGCTGCCTCTCTCACACAGAAGTTTCCCATGAACTAGGACAGAGTACTTCATTTCTTTCCTTCTAATGTTTCCCAAACCAGCCACCCTTTTTTCCTGTTTCTGAATAAAGAATCTAGTGCTACTCCAAAATAAAATCCTGGAAACTCTTACAAGGATCTGCCTTTGGCTCCTGCAAGTTTCAATTAAAAAACCAAAACAAAACAAAACAACAAACCTGCAAAAGAAGATACTGATGTACATACCGGCAAATCAGATTCTTCTTTTGGAACAGCTCTCTTTAACTTCACAACAGTAGTTCCTGCTACTGGAGACAAAGGGTACACCTTCAGACTAGCCAACACGCCGCTGTTAGTCTTTGAAATACTGTTCTGCTTAGCCTCATTATTCCTCATTCCCAGCTTAGAGTCCTCTGATAAACTGGAGGCTGAAATGTACGTTGAGGCATTGGAAGGAACTGACAATCTCCTAACAGTGTTGGTGGTGCTTCCAGCTGGAGGAGGTTTTAGGCGATCAGCAGCCCCGTTCTCTGTCTTCTTCACCTTGATGCTTGTACTTGTTGAATTGCCATCAAACACAATTAATGGCCGTTTCCTTAAACCTTCCACCATTGTAACACTGCAAATAGAAATTGCCAAATTCTCAGAAACACAAGCTAGATGATCCAAAACCAGCATGTCCAAGACAGAACTAGTGAAAATAATTTAATCTTGCCTGAAGTAAAAATATATCCCAAAATACTAATGTTAAACTCTTAGCTGCTCCTAACTTGCTTCCAAATTCTAAAAGGGGGAGGGGAGCAAGGGGTTGTGAGGAACAGCGCTCCTCAGCAGAGAGAGTTGTGTGAGGAACCTTCTAGGCAGACAGTTGCAGTCGTACGATCAAAGACTGTATGCTTATACCACTAGAGCTATTCGAGAGTAACTAAAGAGACTTACTAAGTAACATTAAGTATTAAGTAATTATTATTAGTTAAGTATTTCAAAAGGTGAATACTTGAGAAAGTGTGTGCCACCTTACCTACAAGAACAGCATCTAACACTCTGATTCTTCTAAATCCTCCTGTTTCCACTCTTATTCAAAATTATCATGTTCAGATAGTCTAAAAGACTGTTAGACAAGGAATGAAAACATCAAGCAAAAAAAAAGCACACCTGTTTTTGAAATAAGCTGTCCTTGAACAGGAACCCTAAGCTAATTTACTGCTATTTTTTTTCACTAGTTTATTTCTTTAACTCTATGTCTAGTCAGAGTTGGCCAGTTTAGTAACAACTGATTTATGAAAAAGGAACACTATCAAGCTAATATCAAAATGGTAGTACCAGAAAACATCCTGACTGCCAAAAAAAAAAAAAGCACAAAGTTATCATAGCTCACTCTACATAAATTTAGTTTTAAAAATTGCATTGCTCATGAATGACAAACAGAAAGTGTTTGAAAAGTGTAGACTTAACAAATAAAAAAAACCAAACCACCATTAAGTTATGTAATATTCCTGTTTAGAAACTTCAGTTTTCAGTACACACTTACTGTTTAATCATGTCATATTAAACAGAAGATAAAAACTGAACTATAGTGTTTTCAACATTGAAATATATTCATCAATTTGTAATTAATCGATTTGACAATTGTTGCCAGGTATCTCAACAGACTTCAAAATAAGCAGGAAGCAGAGTCTCCATTCATTTGACTTGGAACAACATTAGATTAATAGCTGCTGATAAACTTCACGTATTAATAAATTATACACTGCTTGCACAATTCCTGTCAAGACCAGGGATTTTTTTTTTTTTTAAATTAAATTAGTTACAATTTAAGAGCCCACAGAGCAAGAGAAAGTTCAGCTCTTACTCAGATTTGCTTCTACATTGCTATCTGTTCTCAACAACATATGTCACATAATCCTCCTCTTTTTCCTATTCATCGGGTTCCTGGAGCTGACAAGAGACAGAGAGAGACCTTTAATTAATTTGGGACTTGTTTGTCCAGAGATCAGACACAAGTCTTTGGCTCCCATCTACAGTAGATGCAGTTTCTGGGAGAACTTCTACAAAATGAGGTTAGCTTCCAAGACCAGGAGTGTTCAGCCAGGCATGTTGTTTCAGTTAAATAATACTACTGAAAAACAGTACTATTTAGCACATCCAGTAAAATAAGGAGTATAATTTCACTTGAAAAGTCTAAAAATCTGTCACACACTTCAAAAATAAACCATGATACTTTTTTGGCTTTGTCCAATAATTTATTCAACATTCCTGACATGAAACACATTCCCCAACAGCCTTTTTGGAAAGCTAGTTTACAAACTATGTGAAAGAAAAAAAATTTTATACCTTTTTTCAGTCACCTTCTTTAACATAAGAAGTCTGCTTTTCCTGTGTAGGGTTTTTTTTGTTTTTTTAAATTCAGCTTGGTGAGGACTGGTAAATCAGGAAATAACTGCAATTCTAGGAAGATTGTTATTGATTCTAAACTGAATTTTAGGACTGTAGCACCTGCACAAATGACCACATGCTGTAGTGCAGATAACGCTCCTAGAGAAACACTTTGGGAAAGTTCCAAAAGAAATTTGGATGCTGTACCATGAAGAACTGTCACATCCAGTTTTTAGATACATGACTCACAGAAGATCACAGAACCTTGTGTGACATTCACTTTCTTTATATAAAGTACAAGCAGCTTAAAAGCTTCAGACCAGAACTCATGTTAGCCAGCACCCTTTTGAGGGAGGACACTGATGCTACTGAACAGCTGAAAAGCAGCATTTTGGGATCGTGTCCCCTCCTGCAGCACACTCTCTGTGAAACTTAGATTTCAATGCACATCTACATCCTAGAGAAACGTTCTAGCCACACTCTGGGCCAGGCTGGATGGAGGGCACGCTCTAATCCTACTGTTCACGTTGTAGTGCATGGTAAAGAATACAAGATTTCCGAGAGGAAGCAAAAGCTTCGCCACATGAGTGATCTGAATTTCCGCTGCTTCACACTATTTCTCATGTAGTCAGTACGGCCTTTGAGCAACTCCACATTATGAGGACAATTTAATGAAAAATGCTCCTATTCTTGTCTCTCTTGGCCTGATACTTAAGGCAGCACCCTAAAACCAGAGAGAAATGTAGGCTTTAGCTCCCACCCCCTCATTATCCTAAATATTTGCCTGCTGCCAAAATAGGCAGGTCATCGCCTCTTCTGTGAATGTCTGTCTGAAACTGGTCAGAAGTCCCATGTTTTACACTGAGTTCAGCACATTAGCAGGTCTCAGAGGATGGTGAAGCAATCAGGTGACTAAGGAGAAATGATGAGCTCTACCAAGGCCACAGCTCTAAGCACGCACAGCCACAGCGCTCCGGGAGACCAAGAGTTTGCAGATGAGAGTCTTCAGACTCAACAGCACTGCAAAAACTGCATACCCACCTCGAGATTCATACCTTCATTCATCCTTCCAGCATGCAAGGTGATCTTATAGGTCGACAACACTAACTGTCCTTGAACACAGATACTTTCTGAAATGTTTGAAGTTGGATAAAACTGCACTTGTTTTTATTTGGTATTACTGCCTCTGAGCTCAAATATTCAGTAATAAGATGTATGAACTGTCATCTGTTACCTCAGATATTGGATTATATTATTGAGGTATAACATGTTATTGCAGCTCAGCTGATATACAGCAAGTCTTTTAGGACACGCCATCAATGACCAGCAGTAAAACTAAACAAGATATTCAACACTGACTTTTACATTTCAATGTGTGTTTACCTCCTATCTGTAACTCCTAGAGGCACACAAACACAGGCTGAGCTGTGCTGATCACATCTCCAAGCCTCATATTAATTCCAGCACATGTTGTAAAGCTGTGCTTTCCACAGAGGAACTCATCACAAAGCTCCTGTTGTTCATACAATCAATCAGTTTATCTGACTTCTGACCAAACTAACAGCACACTTAGTTCCCATCTCCGACCTGCACGTTAACTTGGAGCTCCACAATACCTAGGAATTTTGGTTTGTTTTTGAAAACAAGAACATCAAGTTCCAATTCCTCCTCTGCACAATGGCAGCGTGCCAGTTCTGCTTAACTGGGGCACACAACTATGAGGAAAAGTGCAATATTTTAATATCCAAAAAGATGGTTGAACTTCCTTGATTCTTTCCATCAATATATATCACAACTGAAGTTTTCTTTGTACAACTTTTACTTATTGAAAGTGCTGGAAGTCTATTTCTCCCATTTCTTTGGGTTTAGTAATACTAGCAGTAAAAGATTAACTTTTCTAGTATTTTGCCAGCATATTAACTATAAAAGACATAATACAAGCAAAACCAGTAACTGCTGGAAAATTTTAAAACCATCTAACAACAGAGGAAAAGACTAAGCCTAGTATGCTAGATGTTAAGTGCTGAGAGCAACTGGTTTAGAAAAGCAGACTGATAGATTAAACATACTGCCTTTTACTTACTGTGCTCCCAGTAAATCCTACATAGGTTTAATCATTACTGAATTTTAGTGTACCAAAAAAAGAGCCCCTAAACTTATTCTACATATAAACCCTGGAGGAAGTCATTCTCCCATCTAAAAATTAACACTGTCTCCTTCTCTCAAAAAATCCAATCTATCTCTACTTCTTTGATAAAAAAAAATTTTGCACCTACTTCAGCACACCAACAGTTTCTTATTATTCAAACATTAACCTCCTGCTTTCATCCTCAAGCTGCAAGTTGTAACAAACCAAGGTACTATAACCTTTTAAACACATGGGGGAAAAAAAGATCCCTGACATAACCAAGGTAACTCAGCATCCTAGCCACTGCTAAAAATGTTAAAAATTACAGCACTCTCTGTAAACTGTAACAACATCCAAAAGCTGTACAAGTTTTACTCATCAGGCAAACAAATGGACTATCCTAAATTCTCCAAGACTAGCCTAATAAAAGCTAAATTACCTTTTATTCTCACTTTTCAACTCATTTTGCTGTCTCTTCTTTTCCATCATTTTCCCCCATCTACTTTTTGGTAAGTCACGCTGAGGCAGCGGAATGGCATGTTGAATATAGAGATCAGTGAGGCCATCTTTGTCCATCTTTACGTCATTTTCAACTAGTATATTTTTCTGTGGGGAACAGAAAAAAGTTGTTATTATCATGACAAATTCAAAGCACAAACATCCTAGTGGCATAATTTCTTTTTTCAAAAGCCACCTTAAGGTAGTGCATTGGGCATAAGTGCCAGTGTTGCAGCAGTAAGTGGGCTGCAGGGGTGACAGGCGTGGAGAGGCCATGAACTGCTCCACACCAACGACAGCCAGGTCTCCTGCCTTCCCACTGGGAACTTCTCTTGTTTTCTGTGTGGATTACACCAGTCCTTCCCTTCAGCAAGGCACTGGGAAATGCAGGATATTTGGGCCAATGCACAGTGGTTTATTTTCCCACCAAGTGCAAGTGCATCTCTTACGTATCTCCTTGTGTATCCTTTTGTGTCTCCTGCCCTTGGTGGCTGTTTCACTCTCTTAATTGCATTTGAGCACAGATGCCATGAGCAGCTCTGCTTGAAATTTGGTGTGTGATGGCTGTTTTCATCAGTGTCAGAGACAGCTGGATCCAGCTGCAACCAGTACTGGGCAGTTCATCCCCTCTACCCACACAGGTAAATCCTGCAGCCCCTCCCTATCCAAAACCCTATAATTTTTACAAATAAAAAGAGCAGCAAAAACATTTTAAAAAGGAAAAAGTTATGACAGACATACTGTTGCTGACTGATGTTTCCATGCACTCTTAAACACACTGCCCTGAATCCATCTACTATACCAGAGCTCCTCTTCACACAGCTGAAAAACACGCAACTAGAACATAACCCAGTTCAAGCTTACAGATGGGAAGTAGGGCTGTGATTTCTTCTCCCAAAGAGTAAGTTGCAAAGGGAGATTTTTCCTGTCAGTTAGAACATCAGTTTTCTTTCTAATCATGTAGAGACTTGTCAAAACAAAATTTCTTGGTATCTCCTACCAAATTTAGTAAAAGAGGAAAAACCCCACTAACTTCATACAAACTAGAGGTCACTGAAAGCAGGTCAAGTATCTGCCACTACTGGTTTTGGCAACATTTCATGACTTCTGATGCAGGCGTAAGATCTGTACTTTTTTGCCCACATGAACTACGTGGACAAGAGCATACAAAAATTCAGCAAGCTCATACAAAAACCCTAAAACTTTGATTACTATTTACGCACCTAAAATTTTCAGGCAAGGGAATAACAAATACTCCAAATCACATCAACTGAAGCTTCATACGGCCCAAAGCAGTTTATAATTCACTTTCAAACTCAAATTCCTTCAACTACGCACACTTAAGCATTAGCTTGACTGATTGTGTAGAATGCATTTTCTTAATTCACTGGGTATGAACGTGGCAACTTTAACAGAGTAAAAATCACTTTTCCACAGAAAATTTTACTGTATGCAAACACTGTTTCAGACACGCTGAGCTGGGTAAATTCTTCTTTAGCAGCTACACGGTGCAAACGCGGAGACACCTCTCACACTACAGCCCTCCTCCAAGCAACTACCCGGCCTACAGAGCACCGACTTGTGTTTCCTTTGGTTTGTTACCCCTGAACGCTTCCTGCGCACCCGTAAGGGCGGCACAAAGCCTGCAAACCGCGGGAGGACTGGGGGAAACCTCCCGTCAAACACCCCCCCACCCCCGCCCCA